GTTTGACTGAGGGGGAAATCTCTTGCATCTGGATGACCATATATAAATAATCATTATATGCAATACACACTAAGGACACAATTCAGCTTGTCCCTGTGGTATTCCATTAGGGGCTTGAAGTTTCTTGGGTGCAAAGCTCTCCAATCACAGGAGACTGCTGATGGGAAAGCACATGGGGAGGATATAAAGGAAAACAGGGTAATACACTGAATATACAAAAAAACACCAAGTTACATCAAGCTTAGCAACCTTAGACCTTCCCTATAAGATGTGCTTTGATTCTTGCATGCCTCATAGTGCACTCCCCAAAAAACCCTTAAAACACTCGAGCAGAAGTCTGTGGTATGGATAGCTTACTAAAATTTTGATATATGATTATCAAAATATGATTTAATTCCAGAAACTATTTTTAATGCTGAAGCCGTGTTTACCAAATCTAAATCAAACTGAAATGTTGCCTTTCAAGAGGATTTTAAAAAAACAAAAACAAAAAAACCACACACACACTATTTCCATTATTTAGAAATGGTCCAGGTTAAGAAATACCTGATGACAGGGTGCTAGGGGAAGCCTTCTTTCTCTCATACCTTAAATACATCTTGTTAGATAAAATGGAGGAGATAACATGCTTTGGGCACTATAAATAGCTAAGTACATTAGTCTACCGCTTTTTATTAAAGTTTTTATGTTTTTGTATAAGTGGTGACCTCCAAGTTATAAAAAAATGAAGAATGTCACACTTATGCTGGTATTAAAGAAATCCAGTCCAAAAGAACACCCCACATTATACAAATGTAGGTAATTTAAGAATAGAAAATACTGTTTTCTATTAAATTGGCAAATTCCAAAGCAAGCAAAAGTGCTTCTGAAAGCACATATATGTTTGCTGGGAAAGAAACTAAAGGAAAATACTTTTTTGAAGTGCATAAAACAGATTTATTATTGTTATTATTTTTGTTGTTATACAATATACTTCCATATAAAATGAGAAATCAAAGTCCATGTCGCCATCAGCTACTTGCCAGTCTTTCATTTGATTTTCCTGAATGATCATTCACAAGCTTCTGTAACTCTTTATACAGATTCCTCAGTGACGATTCACAAGCCATCTGTACTTCATTTCTACAAATGCTACTCACAGTCACTCTAACAGTCCAACTTGTAGACTGTGAGTTCCCTGAGTGCAGAGGCCTGTCTTCGTTTTTACTACTCTGAAGAGCACCCTGCATACTGATGTCACTACACATATGACCCCCACCCAGACTGTGTGGCATTCCCACTGGAATGAATCTCACAATTCAGCAACAGAGGGAAGAGAAAATTTCTGTCAACAAAAATACTCTGAGATAGAGCTTCCTTATCAGGAATACTGATGGACAACATCTGAGCCTCATCACATCCACAGTGGCAAAAATTTGTTAAGTAAATGGGACATTTTTTCCAGGCTGTGCAAATTATATATCATCCACCAAGCATTCAGTCTGGACATTCAAAATTATCTATTCAATAAAGTCAAAATATACTTACTTTCTTGAAAACTGTGACAATGGCTTAGAAAAAAAGACAAATGTGGAAAAGCTGGTGTCAAAACTGAGCTTAGTAGTGTAAAATAGGCTTAGCACTTTTGCTATAGGCTTATTTAGACAGTTAAGCACTTTTGCTTGAAAGTATGTTTAGTATGCTTTGTTTAGACTGACCATATGTTTCATTTTTATGCTATTTTCTATTTTTTTTAAAAAAATGAAACAACTGGCATTCCCTATTTGGAAACTCCTCTTATTCACAGTATGCTTCTTTGTAATTGCTTTCCAATGTCATCTATGTATTCTAGCAGTAGGAGCCCCCGATATCCCTTTGTTAAAGTGATTTTCTTGACAGATACTGCCACCCACTTGAACGGCTCTTATCTGATAGCCCAGAATAAACTGAGTAAATAACTGCTGATCTGGATAAAAAGGAGTCCAGAAGTGACAACACATTTATGCAAGACAATTTAATCCTCTGTTAATATAGGGGAAAATAGGAATTGCAGCAAGTGCTATGCCTATGTCAATGCCACAAGTGGTTACCAAAGGGCAATAAGAAAATGTGAATTAAAATGTGGCAAAAATACAGGCATACTCTTGTATGGTGTCGCACACCTTATGAATTGGTATAAAAATTCTGAAAATCCTATACAAGAGTTAAACTGGGGGAGGGGTAGTATGCCATTACCCTTGAAGTAAACATAAAAACTAAAATAACCTATTATTATAATAATTAATTTTGAATAAACTTATAATTGCTAAATCTTCCCATAATTCTAAATGTAGAGGGCTCTTTATCAACTAAAATATACTTACAGAATAAGAATTGCCTAAAAAAGAGATTTCTTTGAAGTCCTCATTGCCTTTGTGGAATATAGCTGATGTGCAAGGTTTTCTACTTAGATTTTGGGGAAACCAGAGCTTTTTTTGTAGAAAAAGCCCAGCAGGAACTCATTAGCATAATAGGCCGCACCCAACAACAGAAAGTCATTAGCATATTAGGCCACACCCCATGCCTTCCCTTGGCTTGCTGGGCGCCCTGTAGCTGCCAGGAGCCTGGGCAAGCCCCCCTTGAAGGGAAGGGAATGCAGTCACCGGGGGTGTGTGTGTGTCGCTCTCCAGGCCTTCCCCTTGTAGCCACATATGCAGAGGTTTTGGCTGTAGTGGGCGTAGCCAACTCTGAAGCCAGCCGGAACTCCGTTCCTGTGCGTTCCTGCCCAAAAATAGCCCTGTGGAAAACTATGTATATAATCATATGTGCCATGCACCTCTGTAGTTCATCATTTACTTGTGCATCTTGAAAAACTGAGATCAGCAAAGGATTCTAAACATATGTATAGATGCCAAAAAACAGACATCTGCATGGTGCTCACACATGATAATGTGCATAGCTATATGTATTTCCCATTGTGCTAATGTACTCCTATGAAGATAAAACCTCATGTGAAGTGGTCCTTACACAGGTCTTCATTATCACAGAAGAAAAAGACAACAATTATTAAATTAAACAAGAATTTTCAAGAAGGGGGCAATGAAATAGTTTGGCACAATTCAGATGTAATGTAAATCTGAGAACCTCTCTTCTTCATACTGTTGTTTGCAGAACACATATAGGATAGATTCAGGTGGGTAACCATGTTGGTCTGAAGCAACAGAATGAAATTCAAGTCCAGTGGCACCTTTAAAACCAACAAAGTTTTATTCAAGGTATAAGCTTTTGTGTGCACGCACACTACTTCAAATGTAGTGACATGGAAGTTACCAGTCCATACATATAAGTAGAGGGTGAGCAGCAAATTAGCATGCAACATAATGGAGATGTTTAACAGATCCTTGCATCTGTTAAACTTCTTCATTATGTTGCCTGCTAATTTGCTGCTCACCCTCTTCCTATATGTATGGACTGGTAACTTCCATTTCACTGTATCTGAAGAAGTGTGCGTGCACACAAAAGCTTATACCTTGAATAACACTTTGTTGGTCTTAAAGGTGCCACTGGACTTTAACATACAGGAGTTATTTTTTCCTTTTTTGGCAAGTAATATGCATAGCCGCTACTCAAAAGAGCGGAAATACACATGGTCTAAGCATGCAGCTAGCTGTTTTTTTAGTTTACTGTTCAAATCTTCCTCACCACAAAAATGCCAAACTGCCCTTTAAATTGCCTAAGGTCAAAAAATAGTTTTGGAATTTGGTGCAAGAGCAGTTTAAATGCAAAAATATGCATGAGAAATTCTCACTCTTTATCAGCTTGGAGGTTTGGGGAACAGCTTTTAAACAGGAGAAAAAAATAGCACATGCATGTGTAACATGCATCTCTCTGTCATTTGTGGTGCAAGTTCTGTAGAAAACTAGTAGGTACCCATAATCATTTAGCAGTAGCTATATGCAAGAAAAAAGGAGAGATTGCCCTAAATGATCAATGCTATGCAGGCCCTCAAAATACAAAAATAAAAAACCAAACCCAAAATCATCATAATAAAACATTAAGCTAGATGTAAATAAAAGGCTATCCAGAAAAAGAACCTTCACAAATATAGCACAGCTGTGTCTTTTTAAAATTATATCATCTGCTTTATATTTGATCAAATTATCCATAATATAGATCACTTAATGTTTATTATTAAACATGCAAAATTAATTGCATGATACATATGGAAAAATGTATTATCATCTCCAACCGATTTTCATTCTCCCTTTGTTTAGTCTGACTCCAGGGCTCCTATACCAATGTTTAAAAACCAAATTTTAACTGTATTTTAAAAAACCTTAACCAACCCAGGAAAGGCTTGGAGTGACACTGAACTCCACAATTCCACGAATTTACTGCGCAAGCGCTTTCCTTACTCTAAACCTATCATGCAGCTTGCTTAATAAATAAATATAAATTGAGGGGACTGGGAGCTTGCAGATTTGTTTCAGAGTCAAAATGTTTTATCATGTAATGTTAGAACTGTCTTAATTAGAAATGTGAGTAATGGAGTAAATTAAGTAGTAAAACGGTAGCTAGAATCACAAAATAATCTCATGGAGATTAAAAGTAACACATATATCAGTATTTGGCAGTTTTCAGTTAATTAATCACAGGTAGTGGTTAACATCAATCCCATGTATCTACTTTTCCTTTCCAAACTGAGGTTTTGTCTCAGATATTCGCATCTCCTTTGACTGACAGATTTTAAAAGAGCTGGTGGACCAAATTTGTCCACTTGTTTGTTTCAAAAGGCAATTTTTCTCTCACTTTGACCTCTTCTTGTCAATCTTCTTTCATTTCCAATGATTTTATACCAAACCTACTTTATTATTAATCAATCATGTATTTGTGACACCAGCCAGACCAGTAACAGAACTGGTCCCAAAGGGCTGTGCACAAAACATTTCTGATCTGCTTGATTTTTTAAAGAGTATTTTCTCCAAACATACATGGTACCATTACATTTGTTATCAAGTTTATAAGGAGAAAATGTGAGTCATTGAGATACAAGGTACAAATGGGGACAACAGAAGTTATAAAAATGCACTGACAAAGACTAGTTTCATAAAAGTAACCTAAAAGCAGCAGTGATTCCTAAATGAATACAATGGGGTGCTCATGTGGTGATCTCCGAAGACCACACACTCTTTGCTTGTAAACCTCAAAATCTCCCTTTACTTCTTACCCCTGCTTCCTACCCCTACAATTTTCAGACCCAAATGGAATCAACAAGGCAAAGGTCTAAAAACTCCAGAGTTAAGGACAATTTTTCACTGTGTGGCTTCCATGTCTATCACTTTCATACTATGCTTTGCAAAATGGGATGAACAAATTGTGGGTTGACATAGGAGAATCCTTCAAAATCCGTTTGGTCTATATTAGAAATAACCAGCTGATCAGGTGGTGTTAACACTGGCTGTCCTCTGGTAAAGAATTTGTCAAAGTTTTCGGCACCCTTGCCACACTGTAAGGCAAAAGAAAAAATAATGAAAACAAAATTTGAAAATGGAATCTATTGAAAGTATTTAAAGTTGCACTGAAATACATCAGTCTATGCCACAAAAAATCTGACATAATAAATGAAGGACATAGTATTGTTGAACAATAATAAGCTTGTTATTAGGCAGTTGTTCATAGGCATTCAGCTCAAAATACATGCTTTTCTCTACACATATATGTTCCCCCTATTTGGACTGGAACAATGCTTGTAATACAAAGGTTTCAGTGAATTCCTATTTAATCATTAACATCAGAACTAAAAGTGGTGCAGTTAAGTAATTAATATTTCACATATTTGACATGGGCATTTCTTTTAGCATTCTAAAGGTAAAAATAGGATCCAATCTATTAGAGGAACAAGCATCATGCTACATTTTCTCAACTACATTATATGGCTATGTCTATGAGTCATAGCTGCCCTACAGTGGGATTTATCATGATTGTGCCACTGTTCTGCCAACATACACTATCTTAATGTCTGGTTTGCTATAAATGGAAAAGTGTTTCAAATGATACACCCTATTACTCTTTCACTGTGCTTTAAAGACTTGCTACTTTGTGACAATCAAAAGGCCCTTAACTTGATGAGTGTTTTGAGTGAATTCTAGTTCACAAACCAAGAATAGATACTTTAGAGAATGCTCTTTACAATTTATTTTGCACTAAACACCTTGGAACAGCACTACTTCCTCCATAAAACATGATGTTCACAGATTATAGTCTCCACAGAAGCTATTTCAAGGTGCTCAGACTGGAACTGGTAACCACCTTTCCTGTAGTTGAATATAATTTGTATGAAGCATTTTCATTAAAGGTACTGTTGCTATTTAAACTACAAATATTACTTTTGATGCCACATTTTCTCTTAATACCATATTTTGTCAAGAAAATGATAGGTAACACTAACTATATTGGGGTAAGTCTAGTGCTGCTGGGAGAGAAATAGGGAACTCAAGAACTAAATCACTATCACCATTTCGAAAGATTACACTAAATACTCCTGACCCATCCCAACAACTCTAATGCCCAACCCTAAGATTTTGATTCCAGATCACACTTCAGAATAATGGTGTTCCAGGATGACTGTGTCAAGGTCAACTTTCTTACAGAGTGTGAAGAGGCAATAAGCTGGAAGAGACAGAGGTACAGCTGCCAAGAGACAGCATGATGACAACAATGTGGACTGGGTAAGGCTACAGCTGAATACTCCATTAAGCAACTGACAAGATCAATGTACTTTGCACACCCTGGTACCACCAGGTCCTGTTTTATCTATCAAGCCTTACAAATAGGTGGTTGCTCTGCAAACAGATTACAGGACAGTAAGGTTACTTCACTGATTGGTGTGCATACATTTGTACCACATGTTCAATACAGTAATGGGATCAATGACAGATGATTAAGCCAGGTATGCCCTAAATATTTCACTTTTGCTATAGCTGCATCTCACAGCTGGGAGTTGTATGCATATGGAAGACTGCAAATCTCCTGAGAAATACACTTCCATGGCTGCGGTCACACGGAGCATTAGCCACACTACAGAGACAGAAGATAGGCGGATTTTCCAGGCGCGATCACACTGCCACATCTGGGAAGCGTAGAGCTCCCGTGGCTCACCCGAGGCTTCCCGCCGAAGATGTGGGGTAAAAAACGAGTATCTCCAAGGTACTAGTTTCTGGAAACCGCGGGGCAAGGGCGGGCATCTGATCGCATTTCCAGTGACATCTGGCGCCCGCCCATGTCCCCTCGCAAAAAGGTCCCCCCCCAAGTCTCCATGGGATGCGCACAAGCACCCAACGGAGCATGCGCACACTTCAGTTTAAAAAAAAATAATCCCGTTTGCTGCGCCGCCCCGCTTCTTTGCCTATGGTGTGATCGGCACCTCCCCCCTAACCACGGGACCTTGAGGGACCTCAACCGGCCATCTGATTGTGCAGCCGCGCGTTATTTTGCTCCGGGGCAAACAGCCACGCTTCCCCCCTGCATTTTCCAGCCCGTGTGACCGGAGCCCGTGAAGATCAGTTGGAAGTAGTAAGCTCTGCTCTGTTTGGCTTGTCCACAAGTAAATGTGCATAGGATTGTGTTTCTATGATGAAAGAGCCATAAACCATGGAGTACCGAACAAACTTCTTTTTATCAAGTTCTTGGAAATAATGGACAAGTTTGACAGAGTTTGCTAACATGAAGGCAGGAGCTTTATATGTATGCATATCTGCATGTAGACATGCTGAGTGAGAAATTATCCCAGCAACAATTATTGCCAGAGTATCTAAATGCTGTGATGTTACAGAAAACTGTTAAGAAGCCTGGATTCATTCTTCTTCTCATAATTTGTTTTGCCCAATTCTCTAATTTACTCATTTTCAAATCCATGTTTGGCTGGTAACAAAAATGTATTGAGTGCAAATTTTGTGGTCTTAAGGGTGGGCAAGGGATCCAGGGTGAAGGGGAAAACAAACTGACCAGAGAAAGTGACCAGAGAGAAAACAGGCCATGTCTTCAGTGAATACAATCACAGGAGCATTGGTGCAACACGGGACATGGATCCAGCATCAGGTGACCTGCCTGTCAGCTGATGGCACCCAACTTCCCCCAGCCCACCTGCCTGCTGGGGGAGCAACATGGAATGGCAAGTCTCCAGATCCCACAGGGGCCAGACACTGTGTGTGGTCCCCTTGCCACCTGGGGATGTGAGTTGGCCGACAGCCTCTGAGTTGGGTACATTGCTGAATGGCCCCACCCCAAGACTCGGAGCTATTGTTAGGAAGCCTCTTCACTGCCATGGCCACAAAAAGAAAACTACCCTCCAAAGGGGGAGCTGGACCCAGGCACCTTGTTGACTTGCACCTTGTGAGAGACTCCTAATGGGTTGGAATGCTGCTGCATGTGAGGGAGGGGAGGCTGGAGCCCAGCACTAGTCAAAATGCAGCCCCTGGGGAGGGGTGGGTTGCTTCCAATGGCAGCAGCTCTCTTTCTCCTTATTTATTATTTTGTTCTTCTTGTTGCTGGGGGCATGGTTTGCAACTCTCGGGTGGGGGGGGACCGAGAATCAACTCTCACAGGAAAGTGGGGGGCAACAGGTGAAATGGCGGCTGCTCTGAGGTCTCCCAGTTCCTCCACCACTGCAGGAATTACTTGTCCGCCAATACTGCAGCACTACTGCCATGCCAAAAGTTTTGTCGACAGCTCCAAAGGATCGAAGAGGGATGCTGCCAAGGTCTGCTGGAGTCCATCCCAGCCAGGATCTGCGTGCCGTGGGGAGATGGTTCCCAGCGGCACACAGATCCTGGGTCTGGTTTCTCCTGCAGTGGTTTAAAGGGACTGCAGTAGAAGCCTGACAAACAGTTGTGAGGCAGGAGAAATCTGCTCCTGCCTTTCTGCTGTTTTCAGATCTACTGGTAATTCCTGAATATATCTGGGATTTGTTTGGGATTTTCTTCTGTTTCCCCAAGAAAACCCAGATACATCTCGGATGCTGAAAAACACCCCAAAACACCGATAAAGTATTTTTCAGGTATATTTTCAGTTTAGATAGATCTGAATGCGCACCCCTATAAATTCCCCTTCTGCTCGCTCCTTGCCCTGCAGCTGCAAAAGCAGCCCCAGGTAATTCTAGGGCTGTTGCTTCTGTTTCAGAGAAAGAAATGTTTTATTTTTATATACAACAAATATACAAATATCTACAAATCTACATAAAATACAGCTGTAGTTGAGAATGAACTGTTTCAAAGCCTTGAAAGAAATGGGGTTCATTATTGCAATTTTAGGTATCACAACTCTCAGCACAACATGAATGGATTTTCCCTGCAAACCCCACCCCCTTCTACCAGTAGTCATTTTTGGCCCCTGGAAATATGATGCCAGAGGATTGTGGGACCTGCATAGACAAAAAAATTGTTTCATGGTGTGAACCTAAACAGCTTATACTTTTCTGAAAGTGGAAAGCTTTCTTACCACTTTAGGCTTGAATGGAGGCTGTATCTCTCGGTTCTCCAGTTTCTCCCAGTCAATTCTCCTGAAGAATGCATGTTCTCTGATATCTCTCTCTCCCTCTGACCCACAACCAAGACGTTTGGCAGGGTGTTTAGTCATCAACTATATATCAAACACATACCAAATGATGAAAAGTGACTTTCAAAATGGAAGGAACAGATGTCAATATAGTTCTGGGCTTACACAAAAAGCTGACATGACACAACTCCCCCCCCCCCGGTTTATTTTAATGCAACACAGTTTAAACCTTTTTCTTTCATGGGACCAGTGAATGTGATCTATGAAAGTGATTTTTGATATTTTTCTTGTCATGTAGAATGACAGCTGTCATTGTGCCTTATTAGGAGTCTGATTAAAGTGAATTTAGATTTTAATATTTAGCCCAGACAGAAGAGCTGTAGAGTAGGATTAATTAGAATATTATTTTAATGGTTAAAGGTCTTTTTCTTAGAGTCAGAAAATAATAGAATATACATTTGAAATTATAAGCTCTCCAGTTGAAGGACATCTGAGAAGTAAAGCTATGAGATGGAAAGACTCTGAGTGTTCGCAAAACAAATATCTTTCTGTGTAGAGAAGCGCATCTGGCCCCAGAAGGTTTCCTAAGAGCTAAGTTTTGTGCATCTTATCAGGAAACTCCCTAGTTTCAGACTGAAGCAAATAAGCCAGGAATGAAGCCAAAAGAAGGCCCCTCTGTTCATTGATGTCTTCCCCTGTTCCGGGACCAGATAAGTGGACGCAGTTACTGGCACTTAAGATCCTGATAGAGGTTTCCCAATAGAGACGTGCCAGCTCAAATGATGCTCTGATGATGATACCTGTTGAACACCAGTTAAGGATTTCTTTCTGTGTAAACTGTCATGATGTCATTTGGGGTGTAAGACCTATTGCCCTTCCTGGTAGGGGCAGAATACAGCTGGTGTTACTGGGTGCCAAGGTATCCAGTCCTGTATTCTCCTGATTATTGCAATAAACAGATATTTATCCTCTCCCTGGACTCCAACCGTGCATTCCTTATTCAGCCCCGGGAGCACACAGGGCACAGACTTGTGCATCATTATTACAGGACCAGAACTTATTATGCATGCTGAAATTCCTGAACCAAAAATACACAAGAAAATTGCTGTTTCAAGTTGTTACTGCAGTTTCCAATATGGTAGATGCAAAACTAGCATTATGCAAAACACCCCCAAGAAAATCCATGTTTCCTATAACATAAAAAATTATATAAAAATAAAAAATTACATAAAAAAGAGAAAATCCATGTTGTCTTCTGTGTTCTAGTGCTTCCCATCATCAGCAGCAGACATCTTGTTTTTCTTTGATTCTCCTAATTTCCCAGGCCTTTAAAAGGATCCGGAGAATCTCCTGGCCAATCACTATTGGAGACAAGCCCTAGAGAAGGAAGTTTTAAGCTTGCAGCTGCTGCTCTGCGCCTGATGACATTTTCAGAGGAGTGAGAGACCTCACCCACCATTTTCCTGGCCTGAAATGACACCAGGGAGTGCTCTTTGCCCTATTGAGGCTTACTGTGTACTTATGGGGTAAATGTCGGTACCTCCAATAGGGCAAATAGCAACCTCTGAGGCTATTTCAGTTTGTGAGAGTAGCATGGGGTAGAAAGTTTATATACTCTCTCTATGTGTGCTGTGGTTCTGATCATTTTTCAGCAGAGAACTCACATCACACTTCTGATTCAAAGTCGTTGTGGTGGACCCATGTAGGACCCAAAGATCATTTGACATGTAATTAGGCCCTTAGAGAACTCTTATCTTTTTGCAACACTAGAGAAAACCATTTTCAGGGCAGTTTGTATCAAGCCATTGACGAGATAACAAATTAAATACACGAATCTGTGATGCCTTGTCTTTTAATGTGTGAACCATGTACTTATCTATGCTGTGACCACATAATCATGAATACAGACCTGATTTTCAATAAAGTTTAGTTTCTTCTTTGTGGAAACATTCATCTGACTTCATCTGTCTCCCTATAAATGTAGCTTTTCTCTTTGAATGCAAACCAGGCTAAAGAATGAATTTACAGATTTTACTGATTTGCCCACAGAAAAAGTACAGAATGTCATTGAGCCAAACCTTGTGGAAAATGCATCTCATATAATAATCATAAGCTTACTTACCCCCTTACAAATGGACACAGCTTCTTTGGACATGGCTTTTGGATAAGAAACATTATGTTCCATTATTGATTGAAAGAGCTCATCTTCATCCTCACCATCAAATGGGGGCTGTTAAAATAAAAGCTAAATTTTAAATAGAAGGTAAAATAAGGCCAACAAGGTAGTGCCAAAACATATTTCCCTGAGCAGGGAGTATTAGGGATGTGCATTTGGGGGAATATTCTGTATTTTTGTATTCAGATTTTGAGAACAGTTTCCGTAACGGTATTCTGGATTATTTTGGTCCCCAGTACTATTCTAGAATTCGGATTTGAGGGTCCCCCCCCCCCAGAATTCTGAAAATATTTGGGTCAGTTATTCCCTATGGGGGACTCTTTATAGAGGTCTGGAGCAGCTGTTTTACAAGTAAAGGTAAAGGTAAAGGTTCCCTTGCTCGAAAGCCAGTCGTATCCGACTCTAGAGTTGCGGTGCTCATCTCTGTTTCAAAGCCGAAGAGCCAGCGCTGTCCGAAGACGTTTCGTGGTCATGTGGCCGGCATGACTAAACACCAAGGCACACAGAACGCTGTTACCTTCCCACCGAAGCGGTACATATTTATCTACTTGCAATTTCTTGCTTTCGAACTGCTAGGTTGGTAGGAGCTGGAACTAGAGACGGGAGCTCACTCCATCATGCGGCAACTCGGGTCTCGAACTGCCGAACTACTGACCTTCCACAGCCTGCAGTTCAGCGTCTTAACCACTTGAGCCACCGCAGCTCCTTTACAAGTACATGACATTAACATTTCAGGGAACCTAGTCCTCCTTGTTCACTAAAGATCACAAGGTGCCCTCAGCCTACTTGTCTCCATTGTCTCCTATGGGGAAAACCCCGTGCTTTCTCTAGTGCAACAAAGCCAATGGTCAAAAACACAAAAGCAACAAACCCAATACAAACAGAATCAACAAGCCCAATAGAACCAATGTCAGATTAAAGAATCCAATCATGATGGTTGGGCAGACATTTCTTGGGAAGGGGAAAAGGGATGCCAGTAGTCTGCTCCCATTTGTGCAATCGTGCAGATTTAGGAGGTACTGCAGTGCAAGGCTCAGTTAGTATCAGGGAGTCTTGGTCTTGTGGGAGAAAAACTGAATATAAAACCAGTAGTTATAAAAAAAGCCACTTGTGTTCCCAGAAATGTGTGTAGGGTCTGCAAAGTGGAGTTGTTTCACCAGGCCTTTGGTTGAGGTGGCAGGTGTCCAATTACATTGGCCTCCCCTGTTCCAATCTGACCCTTGTGTTGTGCACTATATCAAACTGTGCCACCAGTGGTGGCTTCACCCACTTGCTCAATACGCTGGTCCTTTTTGGGTACACATACAGTGAGCACGTGGGAGCTTAACTATCTGTTTGCCATCATGTGCTATGTTAATTGGGTTAATTGGGCCATAGCCAGGATTTTTTGTTTTGGGGGGAGCAAATTTTTTTTTGTGGGGCACCTATTATGCTCATATGTATACTTAAAAATAATAAATAACTGGAGATTTTGGGAGTGAAGCCTGGGGAGCATGGGGTTTAGGGAGAGGAGGGATATCAATGGGATATAATGGGGATCTCCAGCCACCACCTGGAGATTAGCAACCCCAGGAGAAAGAGATTGGCTTCCCCCACCATCACCATGCCTTCTCTCTCTTTACTTTCCCAGATCCCCCTCCCAGCAGCAGGGAGGCTGGGGAAGGAAAGGAAAGTCGCCCTGCCACTTCTGGTCAGGTTCACTCTGGGAGAAACAGCCCTTAGGTTTAACAGCTGGTGGGAGAGGAGTGAAAGTGACCAAAAGTGGCAGGGCAGCTTTCCTTTCCTTCCCCAGCTCGGGGAAGTGGTGGGGAGGCTGCCCTGCTGCTTCTGGTCAGTTTCACTCCCCTCCTTTCAGCTGTTAAACCTAACAGCTGATGGGTGGGGAGTAAAACTGACCAGAAGCTGCAGGGCGGCTTCCCTTTCTTTCTACAGTCTCAGGGCTGCAGGGATAGGTGCACTGGAGGTGGGGGTGCCCGGCATCATCGGGTAGTGGGGCAGGGCTCAGGGGGGCTCAACACCCAAAGCCCCACTGTGGCTACAGGCCTGATTGGGTTTTTAAGTGTAAGTATGTGAAATTGTTCTTAACTGTTTTATTTATCTGTTGTAACCCACCCTGAGCCCACATGCAGAGGAGGGCGGGACAGAACCTCAGTAAATGAAAATGAAATGAAATCTGCGAGCTTTAAGAGGGAAAGGATGCAGGGCCACAGCACACAGCTGCTGTATATATATCCATGCTACTTCCACTGAGGAGGATTACCATAGTTTTGTCCAGATTCTAACCTGCTTTCTTTGTTTCTAGTACAATTCTTGCATTTAAACAAATTTGGTAAGCTACTTTGAGCTAAACTCTGCCACTTAGTGTTTGCTTTTCTCATTACAGGCTTAAATGCACAATATCAGACTACGAGCGCAAAGAAACAGGTTGGTAATAAAGGCTGATGGAACTATTTCGCTGTACAAAGGAATTGATGCAAACCTTACCTGACCAGCAAGCATCTCATATAACAATACACCATAGGCCCACCAGTCCACTGATTTTCCGTATGGCTGATAAGCAATTATCTGGAAATTTCAATTAAGATAATTTTAAAAGATCTAAAGTTTTTTCAGACAAGACAAACCAAACACATACCTAAAGAGACATTTACAATAGTACAAGGAGATTTACATTGCAGTCCTGAACATATGCCCTTTTAAGTCCACCGGACATTAATGGCTTACAAGGATGCAACTTAGTTTAGGACTACACTATTAGACACCGTTTGCGTAAAGTGCTGTCAAGCTGCAGCTGACATGTCGACCACTTATGGGGTTTTTCCAGGCAAGAGACAAACAGAGGTGGTTTGCGATTGCCTCGGCATAGTGACCCTGAACTTCTTTGGTCGTCTCCCATTGAAGTACTAACCAGGGCTGACCCTGCTTAGCTTCTGAGACCTGATGAGCTCAGGCTAGCCTGAACATCCAGGTCAGGGCACCGTTAGACATACAATCCCCATATTTATTTATTTAACTAAAATATTTGTACCCTGCCTTTCCTCTTGGCTCAAGGTGGCTTACAGGTAATAATTAAAATGTTACATAAAACCAAATAAAATAAAAGTCTCAAATACTTTCCCCCTCCCAAAGATGCATGTTGTTCATGCACTAACTCCAAAGGGTGAAACAATTGCAAAGATTCTGCTATGAATGGTTTTGTTCTGTATTACAACATGATAGCCAGAAGATTATTAAGTAAATATTGTAATCCCATACAGACTTAGATGTTATCCATGCCAAGCCAAACTATGATTCTCACAAGCTCCATTTGCAGCAGGATAAATAATGCAACTAAAATATTGCATTTTTGCTACTGAAACAATTTTTGTTTGAGGGTGAAACAAAACAAACAAAAAACAAAACCCAAACCTTTGGAATCTGCTGTGATGTTTCAAAATGTGGCAACATTTTGATATGAAAAGAAGTATCTCATTTGTCATCATTGGAAACATCTACTGAAACGGCAAATGCAAGGTTGCCCTGAAATTACCCTGAGTGTTCTTTCTTTTTACTGGGCTTTCAATGACTGGTTTAAGTGGAAATTCTGAATTCCCATTTCTGGTGGCTAGATTTTATAACATATAATAGAGTTCTGTTTTTTAAAAAAATAATAGACTTTCGTTAGTTCTATGTGGTTTTATTTTGTCTTGAGCTGAAGAAAGGTAGTATGTAAATATTGTAAATAAATAGGAGCTTTACACTCTCAATCACATTTAAAAGTGGAATGATAATGAGCATGTCATAAACATCCCTGTTCTATAGATTAACCTGTAACCATCCTGACTGCAAAAGGCACACAGACTTGTGCCTTCCAATTCATCCTTTGTATTTAGTAATACAAAATGGCGTGATGTGGTCCATGGGGTCGCAAAGAGTCGGACTCGACTGTGTGACTGAACAAAATTTAGTAATTGCACCAATGTCAGAATAATGTATTTACTTTGTTTCCAGTCCACTTTCCTGGCTGAGATTCAAGGCCCCTCAAATTTGTTCATATAACATAACAATGAAATAGCCTGGCTTGTACAGGTGTAAAAATATTATATTTGCCTTAAAGCTGGATAGTTAGATCAATACACAAAACTGCTGAATATATCTGAAAAATGCCTTCAACAGCAACATACAGACAGACTACAATGCGCTAATAACCAACTGAGCCCTTGCAGTCTGACATACAGCATACTGGATAGTCTCAGCATTCAGTTTATAGTGCTTCACTACATTGCAGATGATACTGTCTCTCTTTCTTTCCATCCAATTCCAGGGATGCAGTGAAAACACAACGTGGGTTTGAAGATGGCGAAAGACTGGATGAGGGCAAAACTACAATCTTAATTCAGACAGTCTTGATCTAGAAATGATCAAAGTGGTGAAGATATGATTTAAAGCTGATACAGAATATGTGCAGTTTGGGGGTGCTCTCTGACTTTTCATTGTCCCCTGATACAATTAATGGTGGTGGTGGTGGTGGGGAAACAGGCAAATGTTTAACCAATGTCCTAAGCTGAGTTAGTGTGAGCTAGCTCACAGTTTTCTAGCCTCCAGCTCACAGGTTTTTGTGTTAGCTCAGGAAGGATGGCTCCAGAGCAAACTAATTCGTGCAGCAGCCAAACTGCTCGCTCACAACTTTAATGGCAGTAGTTCACAAAGTAGAATTTTTGCCCACAAGACCCCACAGCTTAGAGGGAACATTGGTGGTGGTGGGGAAACAGGCACATTTTTAACCAATGTCCTTGTTTTGGCTGTTCCTGGAGAAAGAAGATCTGACCACCTCCACATATAAATGAGAGTTAACAAGAGTTTCAGTTTCATCCAGGCTTAGGATGCTGCTTTTTTGGGTATTTTTTGCATTTTGTGTGCATGTGTGTGCACGCATGCGTGTTTGCTTGTGCCTGGAAGTTATGGCGATCTCTGGTGACTCCTACTTGGGTGGGTGTGGAGGACATTCAGAGAAGTAGCTTGATAGCCTGCCTCTGCCTCCTGGCCCTGGTATTCTTTGGAGGTCTTCCATCCAAATACTTGCCAGGGTCGGCCCTGCTTAGCTTCCAAGATCTGATGAGACTGAGCTTACCTGGGCTATCCAGGTCAGGGTTGGTTTAGGATGCTGCTTAATGGAAGGGAATTTAGTTAACTTTCGCTGTTTATTACTTTTGTTATGAAAGTAACTAAGAAGAAGACTTCAGTTAACTTGCACACCTGCATTCATTGGAATTGGTATTGTCATGTCTTCACCAGACTGACACCAACTCAATATCATTTATTGGTTTGGGGAAGAAAAATATACTAGATATATTGTAAAGCTTGGAACTACTAAAGCAAAATAGAAACATTTTAAATGTTTTCTGCAATGAAATAAATGATAATACTATTTTTTTAATTAAAAAGAGCTAATCATTGCTTTTTTCTGGAACTTTAAAAAGGCATTTTACCCCACCTCAAACACCACAGTTAGGGAAGTGAATAATCAATTAAATTCCGATAAAGTTTTTGCAGTGAAGATATAAATAAAATGTATAAAAGCAGCCTACCATACTAATTCACTAACTTGCATGCCACACAAACTGGGACTAGAAGCTGTGTTCACACTTAACAAATGGGTGCTATTCAAGGCACTAATTGGAAGGGAGAGTTCTTCAAAGACATAATTAATTGGGAAGTAGAATTATTTCATTTCAGGTTATAAAGAGACAAGAACAAAAAGATGAGAACCAGAAAAAAAGACATTTCGGCTCATTGGCTTCACAGTCATGGATGAAGGATAAAACATTTTAATAGTATTTACTTTTATTGATCAGGGTAATGATTCAGTTCCCTATATGTAATAAGCCAGTACCAGCTGGCAATAAGTCAAGACTCAGCTGTGTGTCTTGTTGCATATAGCCAAGCCCACAGTTGTTAATGATCTCCTTCTTGATAAACAAAAACAGACAAAGTAGGTATGGAAGGCCAATCAAGTGCTTTTTCATTGTTTCTCTTTTGTCACTGCCTTTTCCATCCAGGTTTTTATTAATGGAGAAAGTTTAGACAAGAATATATTCCCCCAGCTGGTCACCAGCCATCACTTCTATCATCATGGGGGAATGGTCAGCTAGGAAACCTGGCACCTGGAAAACCTCAAATATGCCTTTCACAACTCTTTTGGGGGAATTTGTGTACAATGTTTGCAATCTCAAATAATAGTTACCTCAGGTGCAATGTAATCTGGAGTCCCACAAAAGGTCCTTGTTGTTACGCCATCACTCATATGCTCCTTACACATCCCAAAATCTGCAATCTTTATGTGTCCTTCAGAATCCAACATTACATTATCTAATTTCAGATCCCTACGATAAAGCAATTAAAATGTTTAATACTGTTGCCGATATGGTGATGACACTCAAGTCCCTTATTATGCAGCAGTTTTAGATTACTTGGAATGGGGTGGTAAGGCTGAGGGGCTGAAGATAAACAAGCAGACTAAAACTGAATCCATTCAAGATAGCAGCAATGCTGGTGAGAGATTTGGGGATTCACTTGTCAGGGAGTCTGCCTGCTATTGTAGTAACTCCAGTGACTGTGAGATTCATAGCTTGGGAGTGCTCATAGGCTTGACATTGTTCCTGAAATCACAAGGAGTAACTATTGTAAAAGGTTTTATGAGGAACTATTCTCAAAGAACCTTTAGAAGCTCCAGATAATACATGGTGAAAGATGAGCTTCTGGGCACAATGCAAAGTGCTGCTTTTAATCTACAAACCCCTACACAAAATAGGTACTGCTTATCTCAAACAATTTCTCTCCATTTATGTACAGCCCCTTCTCTCCCACTGACATTGGCTGTGAACATCTGGTTCAAGGCTTCTCCAGTCAATGAAACCAAAACTGGACAATGTCAGGGCAATTGTCTTTATTGTGGCCACAATTGTATAGAGAAGGCTTCCTAACTGACCATATCAGTGCCTGGCCATGGATTTGTCTACAGAAGCCTGTAAAGCTTTTACTAAAGTGGATTAATTTAACATACTGCATCTTTTTGTCAGACTGCTCTTTCTGATTGTTTTAATGTTTAATCTTCAACTAGTATGAGGATTTTATGTTTTCTATATTTCTTGATTTGAATGGATAGATATTGTAGAATCAAAGTATTTTATTTATTTAAAACATTTACATACCACTTTCCCATTTTGTTCAAAGTGGTTTCCACAACTTAACCATAAAGCCAAACAATCCATAAAACATCTTATCTATAGATTTTACAATAATTCTAAAAGATAATTATACCATGCAACTTGTCCAAAAAGATTAACTCAACCAAAAGCCTTTAAAATGATTCCATGTTAAACTTTCTTCTGAACACTGACAGAGATGCCCCCTCCTTCACCAGGTGAAATGTCATCATCCTTTCAGTCCAATAGTATAATATGTGGCACTATAGTATATGGCTATTTAGAGAGAGCAGATATCCCACAATTGCTTTCTTTAGGCAATACAACTCAGAATACCCTACTCAACTCACCATACTGTAGAGAATTGTTCAGATGTGCTAGTTTCTTTATTCTAGAAGTCCAACAACGAAACTGAACCATTGTAACTTGACTTTTATGTTGAGTCATTATCCCATGGAGGAGGCATATATACACTTTCCCCTCCTTCTACTTGGGATAGCCCAGAATCACTCTTGCCTACACACAGAGACACACACACACAATCTCACATGTCTCACCACTGATGAAAGAACATGCACAGCAACACAAAGAAGGATTAGTTTGGGCATCAGTTAATACTCACCGATAAACGATTCCTTTTTTATGGAGAAAGAAAAGTCCCACTGAGATCTCTGCTGCATAGAACCTGAAAGGAAAGTATACCACATCAGCCATATGATGGCTGCGGTCACACGGAGCATTAGGCACGCTAGAGAGACGGAAGATAGGCAGATTTTCCGGGCACGATCTCACTGCCATATCTGGGAAGCGTAGAGCTCCCGTGGCTCACCCGAGGCTTCACTCCGAAGATGCACTGTAAAAAACTAGTACCTCCGAGGTACTAGCTTCCGGAAACCACGGGGCATGGGCGGGCATTTGATCGCGTTTCTGGTGGTAGTTCCGGCACCCGCCCATGTCCCCTCGCAAAAAAGTCCCCCCCCCGTCTCCACGGATGCGCACAAGCACCCAACGGAGCATGCGTACACTTTACTTTAAAAAAACCCCACAACCCCGTTTGCCCCGCGGCCCCGCTTCATTGCAGCGCCGCAGGATTGTCCTATGATCGGCACTTCCCTCTTAACCACGGGACCGCCACGGGACGTCTGCTCGCGCAACCGTGCATTATTTTGCCCCGGGGCAAACAGCCACGCTTCCCACCCGCATTTTCCAGCCTGTATGACCGGGGCCGATGCATACTTTTTCTTCTGCTGAATTATGTTTGCAAAAAAGCCACAAGGGCACCTGCAAACTGTGAAACAGAAAATAATGTAATGTCATATGGCCTGATCGTAATGACTTAATGCCTCAGGAGAGGAACAGGACCAGTTATTGTATGTGTGGAAGAGTCTGAGACTTGCCATCCCTTAAGTCAGTAGGACTGTCCTCATAGCACTGGAGCATGCAGGAGTATGGAGAGCAATTTTGCCTGTCCTAGACAATACCCAAAGTATATTCCCTTTAAAGTAGTTCTTGTTCAGTTTCTAGTTTTCAACTTGGTTAGGCCCTATGCTGCTCAAACAAGACCTGTGTGTATGTCAGTTAGGCAATGCCTAACTGGTCTGTGAAGCTTCAGCATGTCAAATGAGCAGGCCTTTACAACCAAGGAAACAGCCCAAGGGGATTATGGAATTATACGTGGAAGGCATTATATGTGGAAGGGAGATGGCAGTAGGATCTCACTCTTGGGACAAGGGGCAAAACATCTCTAGGGCTAGGAAACTGCTGACTGAATTCCAGTAACAGAAGAGTATAGGGTGAGGAAATCAGTGCTTCCCGCTGAAGCCTCTTACATACTCATTTATTTATTTATTCAATTTCTAGCCTGCCCTCCCCTGTGCAGCAGGGCTTAGGGTGGGTAACATAAGTGATTAAAACAATAAATACATTTTCTAGTAAAATCCATTCCAATACAATTTATATACCAACACCTTCCAATGCAACTAACAAATCAGTCAGATGGCACATAAAACACAATATAATACATCCTGCCTAGGGGAGAATTGTGTATCATGTGTGTCAGTAGATGTTACAACTCATACTGGGACCGAGTAGGTGGTCGGAGAAGGAACAGGGCAGGTCAGTGCAGATGAAGCTATCGTTGCCTCAACATTTTGGTCTTACAGGCCCTGAAATTGCATTAGATCCCGCAGGGCTCAGATCTTGTCTGGTAAAGCATTCCACCAGACTGGGGCTAGAGCTGAAAAAGCTCTGAGTTGAGGCCAAATGGATACTTTTTGGGCTGGGAACCACCAGGAGATAATTGTTCACTGAATGCAATGGTCTTTGGGAGACATACCAGGAGAGATGGTCCTGAAGATATGTTGGTTCCAGACCATGTAGGGGTTGGTCAGGTCAGGACCTGGTTCCAGGTCAGAACAAAACCTGGAATCTGATTCGGTATTCAACTTGGAGCCAGTGCAGCTGGCGGAACACCAGCCATATATGGGCTATAGATGATGTTTCTGTAAGAAGACACACTGCTGCATTTTGGACCTGTTGATGCTTCTGGGTCAGTCTCAGGGGTAGCCTTGCATAGAGTGAGTTACAGTGGTCTAGTCTGGAGGTGACCAGTGCATGAATCACTGTGGCTAAATCAGGGCGAGATGGGAGGGGGACCAATTGCCTGACCTGGCATTGGTGGAAAAGTGCCAGTCTGGCAACATTTGTGATCTGGGCCTCCATAGAAAGGGAGGCATCCAGAATCACACCTAAGCTCTTCACAACTGGCATTGGTAATGATACATTGTCAAGAGTTGGGAGTTGGCACCCCAACCTAGGGTCCCCCCAGTTCAGCCACAGGACCTCCATCTTTGATGGATTTAATTTCAGCTAGCTCTGTTTCAACCAGTCAACCATGGCCTCCCTGCTCTCAGCTAAGATATCTAGGGTGGTATTTGGCCGTCCATCCATCAACAGATATAGCTGGGTGTTTCTCTTTTTGTTCCTCCCTCCCTGACCTTTGGAGTTCACAAGCTGATTCTTCCCAGGGACTGTGTTCTGCCTCTATTTCTTTCCAGGAGAGGACCTACCAATGTCAGCTCAAACATTTATATCAGTTTAAGAGAAACAAATTAGACTCATCATTGAGCAATTGTTTTGACATAAGCAGTCTGAATATTGAACTACATCTAAATACTTACAACCTTCTCTGAATCAAGAGTCATACATTCAAGAAATACTGCTTCTTTCAAACCAGTCAATGGAACAGTCACATGTAGGTTATTGCAATAAATAACATGCAAAATGCAATTGTAAGTATACACATGCAATATTGATGAACTTCTAAGGCCAGAGTTACTGTCAAGTTACTGTTAGCTACATATATCATGTAATGGTGAGAAGCACAGTTCTAGAAGAAAATATTAAACAACAGTTTTGGTTTAAGAAAGAGAGATACTCACACTGCTTGGGGCTCCTTGAATTTCCCTACTTGCTGAATATGATACATGAGGTCACCACCATTCACATACTCCATGACAAAGTACAGGCGGTCCTAGCAGACAGTAAAAAAACAATAAATATGTCTGGCAGGACAGACTACTGCTATGAAATTGTTAACACTGAAATGAAACCTTAAAAGCACATCTATATAATTTGGAAAAAACGTATACAAATATTCATATAATGATACAAGGCTATAATACATTCAGCAATGTTGTGCTTTAAATACACAGCAATTCGTAATATGAACCCTATCTATACACTGGGGGTTTGGCTCTTTTCTTGTACACCTTGTATTTTTCAATCAAAATATAGACAAAGATATCAAAATTTGCTTAGTATTTTTAAGGTCCCATAATTTCTGCTGAGTGAACACAGTACATAATTGTGAAAGAAAACTCACTCAACTTGATGAAAACACTAAATCCTGAAAGAGGGAGGGGTCAGAGTGAGTGAGGGGGGGGAAGATCATGCATGAACACATACCACTGTCTGGAAGCGGGAATGAAGCTGTGTTAGGAAAGGAGGCTTCTCCAGCAAGGCTAGAACTCTTTTTTCAACCATAGTACACTCTACATCATCATCCTGAATCACCACATCTTTTTTCAGTATTTTGACTGCGTACAGTTCATCTGTATCCTTTCGTTCTGCCAGCAGCACCTGCGCGCACACACAAAAATTAAAAGAACCCAGTGAAAATCTTGATGGCAAAAGACACTTGAGCTTTCTTATTATTTTTAATAATGTGACTGTAATATCTCAACTTCCTGGTCTATAAGGAGTTACTGATTTGAGGTACACACCTTTTTTTCTTTGTTGCTTTTTAAAAGGCACTGCACTGCTTGTTTAATAAAAGCTAATATGTTCTTATTATTTTATAAACAGCACTAGCTCTCAGTAGCCAATCACAGAACCTTCTCCAGGAGTCATACTTTTAAAGACTTATTGTAACATTTTCATAACAATCTTCAGGCTATGTTGATGAAAGAGAATTAGTGACCATTTTCCATTTTTGTAAACACACATACACATGGATCTCAGTCTTCATGGCTGTGTTAAATATTTTGAGTCAACACATGGAAAAAAGGAACTCATTTTTTGATATGATTATTTGTATAAGAGGACTTCTGTATGTCTTCCATTTCTGTAGTTATTTTGTCAGCTATTAAAATTTCCCATATCCTATCACAGCAAGTATTAATGGCAGGTGTTAAATGTCTCTTCAAGTGGAGGATACACCTTATTTTGGAGACATCTCCTAAGTTGAAAGGGCAATATCAGCACCTTTAGTAGCTAAGTTTTATTTATTTACTTACTTATTTCCCCAGTGGGGAACTAAAACAGCTCATATAATTCTTTTCTCCTCCATTTTATCCTCAAATCAACCCTGTGAGGTAGGTTAGGCTGAGAATAATAATAATAATAAGAGTTGGATTGATACCCTGTCCTTCACTTGGAGTGTCAGAGTGGCTTACAATCTCCATTCCTTCCTTTACCCACAATAGACACCCTGTGAGGTAGTTGGGGCTGAGAGAGCTCTAAGAGAACTGCTCTTGAGAGAATAGCTCTGAGAGAACAGCTCTGAGAGAACTGTGACTGACTCAAGGTCGCCTATCTGGCTGCATATGGAAGAGTGGGGAATCAAACCCGGTTCTCCAGATTAGAGTCCGCCGCTCCTAACCACTACACCAAACTGGCTCCCAGGTGAGGGTGTGTGTGACTAGCCAAAGGTCACCCATCAAACTTCCACAGCACAGCAGGGATTTGAACCTGGGTCTCCTTGATCCTAGTCCAACACTCTAACCCTTACAGGATTCCTTGATTTATTGTAGGGTTGCCAGTTCTGGGTTGAGAAATACCTGGAGATTTTGGGGATGGAGCCTGAGGAGGGTGGGGTTTGGGGAATGGAGGGACTTCAGTGAGGTATAATGGCTTAGAATCCATCTTCCAAAGTGACCATTTTCTCTAGGTGAACTGATCTTTGTCACCTGGAGATCAGTTATAATCCCAGGAGATCTCCAGCCACCAACTGGAGACTAGCAACCCCATTTATTGCACTGTCTTTGGACATAAGGAACTGAGATGAACTGTGCCTTTGTTAGCTAAAGCACCTTCTTCATTTGTAAATGCAATATTTGGTGACCTTTGTAAAACCTATGATTTTATAGGATTGCCTTACCTCCCAGCAATAATTCATTTTCAACCACCTTATACCAAGGCTTGTAGAAGATAGTATCAAGGTCTCCTACCTTCCCAAAGCTCCCTTTCCCAAGTACCATGAGAAAGTTGAAATCTGTCAGCTTCACCCGATCAAGATTGTTGGAGGGTAAATTACAGATCCGGTCTTCAATTGGAGTTATTACTTTATTAGCAGAAGGTCCAAGTCTGGCTTTCTAAATAAATAAAGAATACATCTGTGAGACCTGCAGCTTGTTTTTGGAGCCAATGAAACATTAGGGTGAGGGACTGATATGAAGTTTTGTTCTCCGAGAAAGAACTGGATAAGAAAAAAATCCACAGGCACAAACTCATTCCAACAATACTATGGATATTGTTAAGTGATGCAAAGTGCCAAAACTGTATAACCAGATAGAAGAAGACTCTCTTATCTGGTTAAGAGCAACAAAAAGACCAAACAATTTATTTCATGCCAAAATCAATTAACTTGTGAATTTGTTTTCAGACATGAAGGGTGCTCTTACTAATATTCATGCTTTCCATGTGTTAGGATACATAATGTTTTATGCTTGAAATATTTTTAAGGTTCTATTTGAAATTCACTCTTCCTAGTAACATTTGGACAGTTTATGATGTACTTCATTTAAAGGAAACCTTCACTGAACAGACAACATTATATGCCAATCAACACCATGACAGTCACTTTCTAACCATCAAATTTGATTTTCAAATCAAATGTTCATCATGGACAAAAAATATTGTTGCACTCAAACCTTTCCTTACAAGTGTTATGCTTTGTTGAGGAATCCATTTGGTTTTGAAATCAGAGGATATTCATACAGGAAGAATAGCAAGTCTTACCACAAGAAAAATGTGACCTTAAATATGACTATTGCTTAGCTTCTAACAAATTTTATACTCCATATCAGTAGGTGTCAAAATAGAATGGTTAATTTTCTTATTTGTTACTGATCTCATACTCTATTTGAAGAATCACTGCAAGACTAACAGATTCCCCTGAAGAAGCCTGTTGGCAAAACACAGAGAATTTTGAAAATTTTAACGAATCAAATATATTTTTACATTATTTTGTACCATTGGCCTTGGCCTTATTTTTTTTTTTTTAAATCTCTTAGTGACTGGTGTGGCCCTTGTGTTTTCTCCTCATTTTCTTATTGGCCTGGTTCAGGCTTAACACAAAACTAAGCATAGTTTACTGATATTTTGAAAGTGGGCTACTACCCCAACTACAGTTGGTCAGGGTCCATAAAACCTGCAACTAAACTTGGCTTATTAACCATAGTTATAACCACAGTTACTCTTAACTATGGTTTAGCATTGTATGTGACTGTGTTATCCTGGCTTAAACTTGGCTTGTTTACTGATGATCCTCCATGCCTGTCCAGCTACATAAATGCCTGGCAAGAGAGGCTCAGAACAGAAGTGTTTACTGCTTCTCACAAACAGTTCTTGGAAACACACTTGTATCTTCCTTCTTTGAAAAGAATACTGGCATATTCGTGGCAGGGGACGTCTGGGAAATCGTTCACCTCTACAGCTATTTCATTATACCTGTTTCTCCCATGTTGCAGAAGAGAAGAACTGGGAACTCCCCCAGACTTGTGCCACTGCCACCCAGCTAGGTTCTAATTCTGCAGCCTGCCTTGCACACTCGGAGACTAGACACATAATCCTGCACCTGTACTGCTGGTGCCCAGCTGGGCTCCAAGACATGCTGCTGCTGTGCTGCATCTGTAGCCTGCCTGATCTAAAATGAGAAGAAATGCCTTCAGCTGCCCCTGGCCTTTTCTTGTGCTACTGCTGGCTGACCAAAGCTGTAAAGGAAGCTGGAGTGGAACAGGCACACATCTGGAAGGTATGTGCTTCTTCCCAGAAGGTCTGGGAAATGTGTTGACCTCCAGACCTGTTTGTTACAAAAGGTGCACATGAGCTCTAGTAACAGAAGCAGAAGAAGGTTGCCAGTGGTGGAATAAAACTTGGTGGGTAGTAGTATTCTACTGGACTCTTGGAAGTTGATTGTATGTGTATACATGGTTCAATTTAATTGGATGCCTTCTGATGTGGTGTGAAGAAAGGAAAGGGGTTCTGGAGTAATACTGGCCATTGTGAAGATTTCCTTCGGTTACAGGTTGGCATAGCAACCACATTTTAAAAGGAGTCTGAGAAACCTCTGGAACTAGATTTTATCAAGACATGCTAGAACTGAAAGATCATGTGAATGCTGAGTCCTGGTTTCACAAACCGTAGGTAAATTAAACCATGTTTTTGGCTTATACTGGAACATGCTGCATACCCAAAGCCTTTGAAAACATACTCTACTGGGATTTCTACATGCATCATTTGAATACTATGATGCAGCATGCCATCTTCTTCATGTGAAAATATTGCTACAGGAACCTCATTGAGAAGAAACGAAAGCTTCTTGTAGTCAGGCTCAAGTCCAACACACATATGCATGGGGAAATTCCCCAAACCTTCTTGTGTATTCACATGCAAACAGTTCTGTTCCAATCTATATATCTAATAGCAAAGGCGCCCCCTGTGTGCGGATATCTAAATCTGCACATCGGGGGCACCTGGGGGGCAGGGAGATTTTCCTGCGCACATGGGACAGAAAAATCTGAAAACTAAAAAAATATAGGGGGGATATTTAAATTCCCAAAAAAGTAACAGAGCGCCCCCTGCGCATGCGCAGGGAATGCTCTTAGAACACCCTTGCCGCTACTGCCAGAGAAGGGGAGGGGGTGGGGGGGAGAAGGCTTGGCCAGCCGGCGGCTGTAAGCCGCACATCCCTCACCACCACTGCCACTGCTGCTCAGGGGGGAGTGAGAAAGTTTGGCAGGCCGGCAAGGCCTCGTGGCTGCCGGGGACACAGTTTTTTTTGAAAGCTTGGCGAGTTGGTGGCTGTTAGCCACTCAGCCACCGCCACCACCACATGGGGAGGGAAAGCTTGGCGGGCTGGCCAGGCCTTGCTGCCACTGGGGGAGGGGGGAGGCTTGGCGGGCCGAGCTGAGGCCTCACCGCCGTTGCCGTGTGGGGGAGGTTTTGCAGGCCCGGCAGCTTGGAGCTGCACGGGCCTCGCTGTTGGGGCCAAGCAGGGGCGGGGAAGAAGGCTTACCTGCGGTGGTTTCCTCATTCTTGACAAGTAAGGGGAGGGAGGGGAGAAGGAGAAAGGTTGGGCAGGCTGGCCTCACCGCCGCCACTTGGGGTGGAGGGAGGGGGGAGGGAGAAGGATGGGCTCACCTGCTGCCAGTTCTGCAGGCTGGGAGCTGTGGGGAATATTCCCCCCCGCGAGTATTGTGGGTCCCGTCTCTTGTTATTTCTATTTTATAAAGATGCATAAATACTGTGTTGTTTTGAATGCTTCAACACTATTTTCACAGATCCATTTTATTAAAAAAACAGAAGTACTACTAGGATCCATTAGGTTGCACGTGATATGTCCTTGTAAGACCTGTGTCTTATGACACATATCATTATGAGAAAGACATCTACAGAAAAAGATACACGGAGTGCAAAGGAACTTCACATGGTTTTGACAGGCCAGAAAGCTCTTTAAACTTGTCGAAGCTACATTCAGAATTACAACGTTTCATTAGTGGTTCAGAGACTTCAAGGTTCTATATCCAAAATGAATGTAGACTGCCTTTTTGCAGAAACAGCCAAAAATAAAAGGTCCTATAAACCATAAAAGCTCTAGCATGGGAAAATAAAAAGATTACTAAGATTAAAGTCAGGACTAATCCTTCAAAAACTTGTTTAGACAACACAACAGCTACAATCTTAACACAGAAAAATACTATGAAAACTCCAGATTAGCCTGTTTCAGGACATGAATTTAAAAAGTTCAAAGTGGTACAAAAATGAAGCAATCCTTTAAATTCCATACAACTTTTGCTACTGAATTCAGAGGAAAGAGGATTGTACCCAACTAGTTATATGTGTTGGAAACATCAAGACAATAGGTATTTAGGAATATTGCAAAACACTAGAGTAGAAAGCTAAGGACCCCTCCCCCATTCCATTTAATTTGTATGACCAAATTAAAAAACAATTTGTGACTGACAGGCCAAAATTCTAAATTATCCAAATATGCATTTTGCTGCATGATCGAAAAAAGGACTGGCTCTGCCTACACAAGGGAAATGAAGCCATAGTATTTTCACTACTAGATATGCCCAGAGTCCAAGTGCAGCAATACTTACATTGCCTTTGACTATGGCTTGGGCTCTCACTGACAATTCAAGAAATATTAACCATATATTGGCATCAGTACTGGTATCTCCCCTACCATTTTTCCCAGCTGGAGGCCAACAGTGGAATAAAATTATTAGAAGACTAGCATAAGTACCAGGATGTTTTATTAATCACTTCCTCCCAATGGTGACTTCTTGTCTGAAACATACTCAAGTAATTTTGTGATACTCTGGAATCTTTAAAACCTGGACAGATTGTGAAAAGTACTGATTGCTTTAAAAATTATGACATCACTACATTATTGACATATTGAAGCCAATTTGTTAAAAGTAGAACAGTAATACATAAATACAATTATGGCCACTGATTTTTAAGATACAGTACTCTATAATCATTACACTTCAGCATATTTTCTTTCAGTCTTAAAATAATTTTAATTAGATTATTGTTTAGAGCAGAAGGCAAATTTCTGGTAATTATTTTACATTACTAGCACAAACCACCATGTGATTCTATGGTAATTATATTATGATTATTTGTGGTGTTTATTTTTCTGATGTTGGTTTTAAATGCATTCATCTCAGATGATGGTATAATGAACATAATCAGCTCATTACTTGGCTTCTACAGCATTCAAAACATCAAGACTTGGAAAATATAGGTACCTGGAGCTATAGTTCTATTTAGTCTTTAAATAGGATGGATGGTAGCAATGCATACATTCAACAACACTGGGAAAATGTAATGAACATTTTTGTATCATTCATGAAGGAGTGGACACACTTTATAATGGACCAGTTAAGTAAGGATTCAGAATGTTCTGTAATTGCACAGTTGCATAAAACTGCAGTCTTAACCATTTATTACCACTCCCAAAGAGGAATTGTTTACAAATTGTTCCTACGAAAATGGAAGAATAAAGAATATCTGAACAAGGACAGTTTACACACAATACCCATTTTCTCACAAAGGAAACATCTTTGGACACACACCCCTTCTATAATTACCTGCTCCCTATTTCTGCTCTTCTGGGCATGGCATTTGTTTGTGGTTTTCCTTCATTTCCAACAATTTCCTAAACAAAAAGGTATTTTTGGAAGGAAAAAGTATACAAATTGCATATAGCTCATGTGTAATCCTCCCATACATATCTATTTTACTACATGTATACCAGTGCTACAGCTGTGGCAAACTACTCTGAATAAATTCATATGGGCCAACAAGAAACCCCGTATTAACTTTCAAACTCTGTGTTTGCAGATGAGTCATTGGAGGTATGAATTTCCTGGATCTCCGTCTTTATCATGATTCTATTCACATTTCCAACATTGTGAAGATGCTCCGAATCTCTAATGTTTTGGACTGGCTTGCAATACAATCTGTTTGTACCTTTCCTAAGTCCATCCCGGAGGTTATCTGCGCTAAACCACTCTCCAGACCTGCTGCCATTTCCACTAATGCTTTCCTTCAATCGACACTTCAAGTTTGGGATTTATGTTGTTTGAAGTTGGTGCCACCACTTTCACGTTTCTCCTCCTTTCTCTGTTGAAAATGGTTCCTGCCATGTCAGGATTGTGTCGTTTTTTGACCTTGGCATCATAAAAACATTACCTGGTGAAAAGATATAGCTTCTCATCAGGGTATCCTCAAAAAAGGCAAACTTGAGGAACTCTTACTTTGTCCCATTCCATGGCTTCAATATTTTCAACTTCTTAGTCTTTGTGATCAATTGTGGGTTGCTACAGTATTTACTGCCCCCTTACAGAGTTTGAATTAATTCATGACTCAGAGGAGAGTAACTGACACCTTACATCTCAACTCTATAAACCTTTGCTAAATGTGACCTATGACAAACCGTTATTGCACCAGGGCCATTGGCAAAAAATATGCTCTACTCAGCTTACAGAAGAGGCTTGGTCTACTATTTGGAGCTCTTCCATGTTTACTTCATCTGTCATCAATGTGAAACACCAAACATTTAAACTTCTGGCCCACTGGTATTGGACTCCATTGCAGATTTCCTATGTTGCTTCCTCTCATTCTCCTCAATGTTCGAGAAATTGTGGATCCATAGGTTCTTATATTCATTGCTGGCTGCTTTGTCCCCAGCTACAACCTTTTTGGCGGGAAATTCAAATCCACTGTATTACTGGTCAAAAAATCCTGCTAACCCCAGAAATTTTTAAATTACTGGAGAGACACCACACTTTTGAAACTAGAGAAAGATCTCATAGCTACTCTCCTAATTGCAGCCAAATTAGTGATAGCTCATGCTTGGAAGACTTCTTCAGGTCCCACCCTTTCAATTTGGCACCACAAAATCTGGGAAAAATTTATAATGGAAAAGATTACTGCCCAGGTTTGTTGCTCTGACAACATCTCCTTATGTGAAGACTTTAACTGTCTTGCCCAGAACGAATTTGTTCCTAGGGCTTTAAAACCCCTCAATCTGTTGCTATTATGATCTGTATATGTTTTTGCTTTAGGCTTGACCTTGGTGACCCCAAAGGTCTTACTTTGCACTGGTTCACTTCTGATCTTAGTTAATATAATTTGACTTTTTTAGTTTTTAACTCACAAAGTGTATATTTCTAGATTCTTCGTAGTTGTAATATTGTATAATTTATTAAACTTTATTTTTTAAAAAATGTATACCACATATACATGAGATAGGCACAATGTAGTGATTACATGCAGGTGAAAGAGACCACATGCAACTGCTACAAATGATAATTGTGAAATCTGTCACACTGTTTGCAAGCTCCATTTTCACTCTAAACTGCTATCTATCAAAGGGCCCAGTTACAGCTTCTCTTTAGCTTCCCCTAGCTCATCATTTGGAGGTGCTTTCAATCAAACCTTCATGCCAGATTTCCCCCCTTTTCATATCTTTTGTCCAGCCCTCGTCCATGACCGCATACAAAATCTATCTGCTGATTGCCTCTGGAAGGTCATGTGGGTTGGATCCAGGCTAAATTTTCTGCTAATAGAAGAGGTATAATTTCCACGAATTCCCCCTTACTATTGAAACTAACAATGTGCACCTGGAAAAAAATCATAATTTGGGAACACTTTCCATACCAATATTCCATATTATTTAGGCTCCCCAATACCATTTCAGAATTCAAATGTGGGTTGTTTTATATATATATGAAGTTCTGGGGGTCTATGGGGGACTCTTTCTGGGCAAAGAAGCCAATAGTCAAATAAACAACAGCAACCACTGGCCAAAAGCCTCCAAATTAAAACAGAACCCACAAGCCCAACAGAAACAACATCAAACAAGAGAATTTCTGCAAAACTATGGTCCAATGTTACCAGCCCCACACAACCAAAGTTAATGCAAAAAAAAAAAAAAATCCACCGTAAGCAAAGGACCTTACTTACAACATTCTCCCCTTCCCCATTTTAATTTCACAATCCTCTGGGGGTAGGTTAGGCTGAGAGTATGAATGGACCCAAGCCCCCCAGCAAGCTTCCATAGCATAGCAGAGATTCAAAATTGGGTCTCCTCGAACCTAGTCTGAGTTTATGCTGGCTCTCCTTATGAACACTAACGAGATGGCAAAACATTTCTTAAAAGCACTTTCTGCAGTTGGTTCTAGACATGCAAGATGCCTTGACTTGTTAAATAGATTTCCTACTTGTTACAATTTGGTGACCTTAACTGTGATTAACAGTAACCTAGGTTCCCATTTAAACAGGATCTGAAATCACAATTTAGAACCTGGCTATATGGGAACTGTGGTTAGCATCACCAGTGCTGGGATGCTTTCATGTTTTCATGTTTCCCTTGGGCCTAGTATAGTAATGAGGTCGTAGAATTTTAGAGTGGTAGAATGGACTGTACCATATCTGGCTGCAGCTAGGGCAAGCTGGCTTTAATGCTCCATAATGAAAAGGACTGTATATAAAGTAAAACAAATACAAAAAACTCAAAAACCTAACATAGCAGAGAGAAAGGTTATAATTCAGCTTGCTTCTTGCTGTGCTTGCATTCCATTTGCAGGCAACATAAGCTGTCCTCCTCAACTGCTGTGAGGGGTGCGAGTTACACTCATTCCCTTTAAAATTCCAGAAATGGAATCTCCTTCATACATATCCCTTTGCTTGCCAGAGTGTGCCCACCAGGGTGACAGGTGCAGACTTACTGAGGGGGCTGATACCTTGAACTGACGCAAGTGCAATGCTAGGAAAAAGTTTTAGCTGCTTTCATTAGTGTTTTATTTCACTGACCATTTTACATCCCCCAATCATATGTGCCTCTTTCACCCCCCCCTTTCTCCTCCATTTCCTTGGATTTCCTCAGAGTCTGTAATGTCTTGTTTTCCGGTGGTATGTTTGCATAAATTAGCTCACCTCACTCTGGCATCTAAGGATTTTTGAGGTGGAGGAAACCATTGGCAATGGGTCTCCCTATCTGGTCTTTGTCTGGGGACCTGAATGTAGGTTGGTGGCATGCTTCCAGAGAGATTGGTTTACCACCACCCCTCTTCAGTTTCTTCTTCTGCACGAGCAGCCAGGGAGGTAGTAGTAGTTGTTCCTCTCTCCTCCAATTCTTCCCATCAATAAAAGAACATTAAAAAATGTAACTCCCCACTTGTACTGCAAAGTGGAATTGTCCATTCTACCACCTCAAGAGCCTACCATGTTGTTGAGTTGCATGCAGAGGCAAGATTAATTAATGTGTGTGTGAGAGAATTAATCTTAAGTGAAGGGAAGGGGTGGAAGAGTGCATGTGCTGAGGCAGACTCCATGTCTCTTAACTGTGGTTACAAAGGAGTCATTATTACCACTGATCACAAGACAAATTTTACCATGCAGTAAGCAACAAATGCTGAATGTTCTTCAGGCATGATATCATGCAATAAACTTACACTGCCCTAGCCAGAGGAAGAATTTTAAGGAGAAATTCAAAAAGGGAGGAAGAATACTGTTTAAGATATATTAAAAAAAATAGAATACTGCTTTGTTGGACAACTGTGACAGTTGTGGAGATCAGAGCCCTATCACCAGTTCACCCAAATCCATTAGCATGACTGCTTTTCCCATTCCCCAGTATAATTCTGCTGGGTTTACACATTTTTTAGAAAACATGACAGAATGGGCAAAGTAAGCTCTGACTCCCTTTCAGGGCTGTGAGAAATATGGAGGACAGCTATTTTGTTTGAGGTGATCCTGCTTTAGACATGGTGCATTGGATCTTGCTTTAGACACAGTGCTGCAAGCCATTATTTCGTGCAAGTGACAGTAGATTAACCATGCATCAAGCTGCCTGTAAGACAACTATAAGAATTGCTGCTTTGTTTATGCTTCATTTTAAAAATTCCATTGTTTACAATGTGTTAATGTCTCTTAGTAAAATTAAATAAAACTTGCACAAGAAATCTAGCTGGGTAAACTGGAAAGGCAGATTTTTAATGAAAATTAGTCTGCACTACCAAAAGTGGGGTGGGGAAAAAACAAGACATGCACATAGTCTTACTTTCTTTGGTTTGGACGCACCTTATCTTGGACCTTTCTTTTACCCTGTAATCACAGGTAAGATATACTTTATACATTTAACCTCTATGGTATAAAACAATATAATGGCTAGGAAAACCAAAACAGAAGTTGTATAGAAAAGGCATTTATTTTGAAAACTTTTCAAGGGATGTAGCCTTTAGAAATCTTAAATAAAAAGCAACAAACCCATTTTTTGCGTAACTGTTCTTTTCTCCTAAGCCAATGTGCAGAACACTGTGTTTAGTTCTATAAACACTGAATTATTCCCATTGTCTTTTGATTTAATTGCATCTGCAGTAAATACACACACACACACACACACCCCACTCATACATATTTTGCTGTGGTCCATATGTATTTATTTACTTAATACATATTCTCCCCCCCCCCCGGGACCTAAAGTGCCTTACATCATTCTCCTCTCCCTTGTATCTTCACAATAACCCTGTTGTGTGACTGACCCAAAGTCACCCAGCAAGCTTCCATGCCAGAGAGGGGATTCAGACATGTGGCATGAACCAGCTAAACTACCAGAGATGTTAATGGGAAAGGGGTGTTTGTCCTTAACTCTATACCATTACATCAATAGAACTTAACAGCCTTTCTCTAGGTTGTATCCTGTATCCACAATCCTAATAAAAGAAATCACTCAGAGTCAGATTTAATCAATCTTTTAGAATGCTTTACTGCCCACAACACTACTGCTTCCATAAGACAGAAAAAGAAGGGCAAATTATAGAAGTCAAGGTAAGAGTACCTGCAAGGAATTTGTTGAAATGCTCCTTCTAAAAACCCTGTGCATCTGCCAATTTTATAAATATTTTGTTGTATTTAGATCTGTGTTATATTAATATACTGGCTTTAATATTAATATACTGGCATTTTGCTGGCATTAATTCTTAAGGATATATTGGGAAGGAAAAGCTGTGTATTTGCTGTGTTATGGTAATACACTGCTGCCCTCCTGTGGTTTCTAACTTTAGAGGAAACTCGTCTTCTAAAAACCCTGTGCATCTGCCAATTTTATAAATATTTTGTTGTATTTAGATCTGTGTTATATTAATATACTGGCTTTAATATTAATATACTGGCATTTTGCTGGCCTTAATTCTTAAGGATATATTGGGAAGGAAAAGCTGTGTATTTGCTGTGTTATGGTAATACACTGCTGCCCTCCTGTGGTTTCTAACTTTAGAGGAAACTCGTTATCAAATGAATACAATGCAAAGAATCATCCAATTTTTCATCATCCTGAGGGTTTTCCCTTTATAATGAATATTCCCTTTCTTACAGTTGTGTAAAAGTTGGGAGGCTTCTATCCTCAAAGCATATTATATAGTAACAGAGTCTGTCATGCAATGGAAACCTGTGAACAATGTTGTTCCTCACACAGCACTTCCTGAAAAATGGAGGAAACTTTCATTGAACATGTGGCTGATGAGTGGATTCCTTAGTTTGATTGGTTACCTAGAGTTAATAGTTTATTTTTAACTTCTATGTCAAACAAGAGGGGAGTCAGGACCTCTGTATCTCCAGTGAATGTGTATGATATAAAAAGAATTAAACTGTATCTGAATGTGTATGATATAAAAAGAATTAAACTGTTTATCAATTTGCTTTGTTTTAATGCCAAAAGTTATGAAGAGATGCTCAAGACATTAGAGAATCCTTGTGTAAAAAGAACTGCCAGGGGAGTAAAAACAGCTTCCTATAAGCTCTAATGGACTCCTCCTGAACCATTAAAAAGCATTTAGAGTAGTGGGCTTCTTTGCTAGCTACTCTCTTTTCTCTTTTTGATAAAACTGGGAGGTTGGCTGAAATCAGGACTAAGGTTATAATTGTTTCTACTTTTTAAAAAGGAGACTCTAAAATACTGGGGGATTAATGAACAATATCCAGTATTGTAGGTAAGCTTTATGTAAGGCATTTACTGGATAAGCTTTCTTCTTGGATGAATGCCCTTTTCCCCCCCTTACGCTTGGAACAGATTGGCTTCTGCTCAGGCAGAGCTATACTGGATCACTGAGTTATCCTTGCCCATTTGGCTGAGAAATACAGTGGTTCAGGTGGGAAGAAATAATTTTCCGCTTTTTTTTTTTAACCTGAAGGGGACTTTTGATTCTATCCACAGGAACCTCCTGCAGAATAAATTGCATAAGATCTGGATGTGTAATAATTACTTTTCTTATTGGCAAATTATACTTATTTCACAAACTGTCAAGTATGCTATGATTTGCAGGATGAATTAACCAGTGAGATCTCCATAAATCAAGGGGTTAAACAGGTGTGGTTCCCTATTTTTAAATTTTATTTATGAACAATCTGGCACCTGTTTTGAGGTTGGTTGGTGGCCACTTCCAAAACTTGGTCCCTGTCTGGTTTTGTGGCCTATTCTGATGCTAATTTGTTGTCTATTAATTTTGAAAAATCCAAAAGTATGTTTTTTTCTAAGGCCTAGAAGTATTTTTGTTGGAGAGACAAGGGTAACACCATGGAACAAGTAAAGCAGTTCAAATATCTGTGAGTAAATTTTCAATACAATAACAGCATGTCGACCCAACAAAAATATGCACTTAACTTAGCCAGTTGCAGAAAGATCTGGACCGGGTGTTACAAGCCATGGCTGGTTGGCTTAGGTGGAGCCAACTGAAACTGAATCCAATGAAGACGGAGGTCCTGTGCCTGGGTCGGAATAGGCTGGAGTTAGGGATCCCACTCCCTTTGATGGGGCACCATTGGTGCCAGCACTGGAGGTTAAGAGTTTGGGAGCGCTCCTGAATGCCTCCTTAACTGCAGAGGCTGAGGCAGGAGCCACTGCCAAACTGGCCTTTTACCATCTTCGACTGATCAGGCAGTTGCTTCCCTTCCCCGAACACGAGAACCTGGTGACAGTGATCCATGCGATAGTTACCTCGAGATTAGACTACTGTAATGCTCTCTACATGGGGCTGCCCTTGTCTCAAATCCGGAAGCTACAGCTGGTGCAAAACGCAGCAGCCAGACTATTGATGGGGCTCTCTAGATAGGAGCACATACAGCCTGTGCTGAAGGCGTTGCACTGGCTGCCGATAGCATACTGGATTCATTTCAAGGTGCTGGTTCTTACCTTTAAAGCCCTACATGGTCAGGGACCTACATACCTGAGGGACCGCCTTTCCCCATATGTCCCCCAGAGAGCACTGCGGTCAGGGGCTCAGAACTGGCTGGCCCTCCCAGGTCTTAAGGAGGCTAGACTGTCAACAACCAGGACAAGGGCTTTCTCAGTGGCAGCCCCAACCTGGTGGAATGAGCTCCCAGAGGAGATCAGGGCCCTGCAGGACCTTCTACAGTTCCGCAGGGCCTGTAAAATGGAGCTCTTCCACCAGGCTTTTGGGAGCCACCGCCATCAATGAAGAACATCGGATGGTTGAATGGGAGAGGGCCTTGGATTCTGGAAATTGTCACCAACAGCCTAAAGAACAATAAGCACCGCAAGGACAATCAAAATGAACACTGAGAGCTGACTGCGAGCTGAGAACTGTGAATAATGGCTGCTACCGTTTGTGGACAACAATGACTACTAGCACTTTATTATGGTTTTAGAATTGTTTTAATCATAACTTATGTCTTAATGTAATTATTTGTTTTTATGTAAGCTGCCCTGAGCTGGCTTTGGCTGGGAGGGTGGGATAGAAGTTCAACAAATAAATAAATTTTACATTCACAGTAGTCAACAATGCCCTGTGGCCATTTGTGTATTTAACACTAACTCTGTAACCGAGCTATTGTATGGTGTTCCCATTTGGGTCAGTGCATTTTAATCAGTCTGTAGAGAAGGTCTAAGCTATCTTTCTGCTATCCTGGGTGTCCCAAACATTGTTGAATATGCAGCTATGTGTTTGGAAACAGAGCTGGGTCTTTTGGTAACTAAAGCCTGGATAAAGACATTGTTCTAGCTACACCTTCATTTTTTCTCTAATCATCCTAGCTATGTGCACGCTATCCTACTTAAGTGACAACTTACTTAAGTGGCATGGTTCTGTAGAAAATTAATTCAATTAAAATCAGTTCTGTAGAAAATTAATTCAATTGATATTCCATTTGACTCACTCTTTAAGTTAGAGAAACAACAGGCCTTCAGACTGCTGCATCAGAGACTGCTGAATATCGAGAGACAAATTTTGTACCCTCTGGCAAATAGAATATGTTCCTCCATTACAAACGGTATAGTGCCATGTTATGGGGCTCATGTTCCCCATTTATGCCATCTTAAATCTCCAAAAGTCCACAGAGCTTTTATGCTCACCAGGTTCGCTGCCACCACCACCAACGGTGGCAATACCAGCAGGATCTGGGACCGCCCTGGGAAGCTCAGCCATATATGGTGTGGCATTAACAACGTGTGGCTGGCATGAACGATCTACTGGACAGTGGTATCCCAGTGGGGCTGACTTGAAGATACCATCATAATTACTCATGACCATCTTGTTGTCTGAAAGCACTTTATTACTGTTCTTATTGTTATTATTGTATTTCTAAGATTTTACTGTTTTATTGGATTTTATGTGTGGGCTTTTGCCCCTGTAAGCCGCCCTGAGCCCGCTCACGGGGAGGGCGGGGTAAAAATGCCTAAATAAATAAATAAAAATAAAAACATTCTGCCTTCAACATTCCTTTATGGTAGATTTCTGGTAATTTCTCATGAGAGACACAACAGAAATGTACGAACTGATCAAAGTGTAGATAAAGCTTTATTCAGGAATTAATGTACTTGATAGTAAAGCGAAGAGATATAGATAAGTTCCTAGCTGCATCACTAGCTGAGAAAGAGAGAGAGGTGAGTTGTAGAATTTCCAAGAAGAAGCAGGATACTGCCCTAATAGTACCAATCTAGAGACAGACAAGGAATGATATCAGGAAATAAGGTGCTGACCTTACTGTCCTATTCAACTGGCCTTTCCTCTTGCTGCTCCCTGCAGGTTCTTCTCTTCTTTTTGTACACCAGACATTTCTTATTCCAATATCCTTTACATTCATGATAGTCA